ATATATGCACACACACACGTGTATATAACAGAAGTTAGAGTAAGCTTTAAAATGTTTTGTTATTTTTGAAGTATTTAACTTGCATGGTGTGGGATGTGTTTGTATGTATACTAGCCTTCTCCTGTGCATCTGTGAGTTCTGGTGCCTGAACATCTGTGGGCTGAGAAGATCCAGACTCTATATCGCTGTCAATCACCAGTTCCTGGGAGGAGTCAGGCACTAGGCTTGGGGACGGACTGGCTGAGATCAGGTCTGGCAGGCCAAACGTTGGCTCAGATGGGCGGATGTTTTCAAATGGGTAGACGGACTGGGATGGCAGGGAGGAGTGAACATCTTCCGTCCTCAAGGTTGGAGCATGCAAAGAATCCAAGGGGTTGGACATCAGTTCCGGCTCTATGACCACTTCAATAGACGCTGGTGGTGCTGGCTTTGGAGGGGTGTTTCCAAACTTGATGACAGATGGCAAAGCAGTTGGCTGCTGTGGCTGTTGCAACTGCTCCTGGCTCTGGGGTGCAGCAGTGAGACCTCTCTTGTCAGCCATCTTCTCTGCTGGGTTCTCAATTTTGATGGACTTAAAGAGCTGGCGTCCATTTTGCAGTGAGTTGAGAGTAAAAGAGGTGTACAGGCCAGAGTGGATGTAGTCGTTGCGGTTTGATGGCTTGGAGCTGGAGCCCAGAGCTGCTGTGCTACTGCGGTCACCAGACTCACCCTCCTGTGCGGTGCTGTCTACCCTCTTTGATAGGTGTGGGATGCCCCCAGCACCTACATCCCCGCCCTGTGTTCGGGTAGCAACATCTCCTTTTAGGATGTCAGGATAGGACACAAAGCGATAGACAAACTTCTGACCATTCACCTTCTTTATGATGTTCTGTAAGACACAGAGAAGCAATTGCTGAGTGAGACATGTTAGATTATACTCTTAGTGAATAAATTAAAAAGTAAAAAGTGCATCATTATCATCTCTGCAGAAAACATAGAGTGAGAGTATAAACAAGACTTTCTCTCACGCAGTATGTGTCTACAAAGAGGCACTAGGGGTAAAAAATAGAAGAGTGAGACCACAAAAAAGCCTTGTACGTGGGACAGCTCTGTCCTTCCTGTCTGTACCAATCGAGCAGCCACTAATGCTGCAGCCAAACATACCAGAGCAGCCCTGCCCAGAACGCCCACAGGGTCAGACTTTGCTTCTGCCAAAACCACAAGCAGAGTGGGAGACAGACAGATCTCTCCCTCTCTTCCACATGTCACCGAGCAGTGGACTTTAAGCATTCTGAGATGTAATTAAGTTGGTTTTTGCTGTTAGCTGGTGCACACTTTGGTGCAGCTGTCTCGAACAAACAGTCCCCTCAGAGTCTCTAGCTGCTGCTTCAAAACAATTTAGGCATCATGTAATTAGTGTAATGATAACTGACTATTAAAGATCTGATCTCATTCAAGTGTGCATACCACACCATCTGATGAAACTCATTTTTTAGAAACTGCAAGTGGGGCACAAAATATTAGGGTGCTCACGCCCCGAAGCATCCTTACAGCTGTGCATCTGTGCCAGGTTCATTCACTCAGTGGCAACAGTAATACGATATTTTCAAAAACAGCTCAAATAGAGAGCAGAAATATTCTGAAAAAGTGACGCAACATTTAGTTGTTTGCCAAATACTTGGCAAACGCTAATTTCACTTCTCCTAATGTGCCTAGTTTAAAAATGATTGCTCCATAAATGGAGGGGAGCGGGTTTCACAGTGAAAGCTATACATCCTTAAGGTGCTGCAAATGGTTATATGATTTTTTTTATACTGGACATTATTTTAGGCATACAACTTCAATTCATTTTTGATTACACCCCCTTGATTCACCAGTGTTTAACTGTGCCACTGACAAATATTATTATAATCAGTATTTTGCTTGAAGTCGATGTAAACTAGAATTACCACTTTGCGGTTGTATGCCTCCATGGACCATTCAAGTTGCACTTATAATTTACATCCATGTCTGTGAAAACATGGATGCTTCACAAACGTCTTCCCACCACGAGTACAGATAATCCATACAATCAGCACAGTTTCAAGGTGGACACCCAAGATTAGAGTGACCAATTCAGTATCTGACCAAATGTCTCCCCTTCTGTTCCTACGTTATGATGTTGAATGATGGCCAGAAAAGGGTTTTCGCAGAACATTTTGATGTCACAGTGAAGCTGACCTTTGACCTTTTGGATGTAAAATATCATCACTTCATCATTTTATCCTATCAGACATTTCTGTCATAATTTTGTCATAATCAGCATCAGAGGCCACAGTGTCCTTGACCTTTGACCACCAAATTTTAATCAGTTCATCATTCCAAGTGGACATTTGTGCCAAATTTAAGGAAATTCCCTCAAGTTGTTCTTGAGGTATTGACAAGATATTCACAGAGGATAGGACAGATGGACGGACTTACAACTGCAAAACAAAATGCCTGATCTTGTGGCTCTGCACTGTAGTGGCCGCGCTAACATGGGAGTCCACATCAGTGAGGACCTCACCTGGACACTCAACACCACAAAGCTGGTCAAGAAGCTCAACAGTAGTACTTTCTGAGGAGGCTGAGGAAGTTTGGCATGTCGGCCAAAATCCTCAGCATCTTCTACAGCTGCATTGTGGAGGGCATCCTGACCAGCTGCATCACTGTGTGGTATGGCAGCACTACTGCTATGGACCGCAAAAACGTGCAGAGAGTGGTGAAAACTGCTGAGAAGATCACTAGGCCCTGATCACTGATGACTGCCCTCTCTGCAGAGCACCTACCACCGCAGAGTCCACTGGAGAGCTGCGTACATACTCAGGGACCCCACCCACCCCCAGCATCGACTGTTCAAACATTAAAGTCACACTCAGTACGTTTACATGCACAGTTTAATTCCACGTTTAATTGGAATGAAAGGCCATTCCGATTAAAAGTGGTCATTCCGATTGAAAATTAAATCCGATTAAAGGGAGTGGTTTATTCCGTTTGTCATTCCGAATGAAAGAATTTTGTGTGCATGTATACACTCATTCCTCTTTAAGTTCATCCCGATCTTTCTGTGCATGCTCGTTTCCTTGCCCTTCTGGCGCGATGACATATATAGCGCGCATAGCAACAGGCTGAGATAGAGCAGTCGGACTCGTTGCACTCACCGGTTTCCATTCGCCACAGCACGGTCTTCTATCTCCCTTCTTCAACCTTCTACCTCCCTTCTCCTCCTCAACAGATGAAGCATTAACAGAACAAGGTTGTTGTCGTACTGCTGCTTCAAGAATATAAGCAAAACACACCCGAAAAAGGCACTAAGAATGGCGTCGTCAAGCATCTTGTTATCCAGAGCGAGGACTACAGTGTTTTCTTCCGGTAAATGTAAACATGCAACATCCGCCCCGCCCCCTATCCAATCAGAAACCTTCCCTGCCCCAAACCTTGCGCAGACCTGAATAAAGGCAATTGAACTGATCTCCCATGTAAACCCTCATTCGGAATGAATATTTCCCATGTAAACTACCTGGAAAGACTTTAATTCCGAATGATTTCATTCAGATTTATTTCATTCCGAATGAGAAGCCATCATGTAACCATAGCCACTGTGTAGGAATTTTTCCCATCTAACGTTGAAATCATATATTGCATTCAAACGGATAGCGCACTCTAGCGCCTCACTGTTTCAAACGCGTATTGCAACAACAATAGCCGCTGTGTACCAAAAAGCTATGATAACATTGATGAAACCATGTCATCCGATACTACATGGAGTATTCATTCAGGCTCCTACACAGACACACGCAACACGAGTTAACAAACCCCGTCCTCACCATGCTGGCTGTGTTTACAACGTAGGACTGTTGTCCCGTGATGCTGCATATGCATGATCCTGCATTATGCTCAAAGAGTGGGACTTTGTTATGCTGCAGTAGTGCCGGGGTAGTAGCAGTTGCTACTACTAGTTACTCCTCTTCTTCGGCTTCTCAGTCACGCAGCACTGGTCTGGCTCTCAACGAAAACGCCAAAGGCGGGGCTGTATGTCCCCTGCTGGCGGATGTATTCTGAAGATGGTGAAACGTTATGGAACCCCCCAGTTGACATACCCACACAATGTACAAACAAATTTGAAATTCTCCTTTTACGAGAATAAGTGAGATTATCGGTGGAGGTAATAGTACACCAATGACGACATATTTATGAATGCAGACATTGATTTTTGCCAATAAACAACTGAAAATGTCACACAATGTCCCTTTGAGCAGGTCAATTCATACAAATATCTGGGGGTTCACACTGATAATGACTTAAGCTGGCACACGCAAGTGGCAAGTGTCTGGGCCCGAATCCACCAGCGCCTGCATTTTCTCTGCCGACTCAGTGTTTGAGTGTTTGATGTCTGCAGGAATATTATGTTGATTTTCTACAGAGCAACCACTGAGTCCGTGTTACGGTATGGCATTACCAGCTGGTTCAGCAACTTTACTGTTAAGTCAAAAGCTCAGATACTAAATCTGATAAAAACAGCAGGGAAAATCATTGGTATGGCAGCACCTGTAACTCCCCAAGACCTGTTTGAACAAACAACCCTCAGACTTGCAGACAATATTTTATCTGACACATCTCATGTACTGCACTCTGAATATCTTTTACTAAACTCAGGAAGGAGGTACAGAGTTCCGCTATGTAAACATAACAGATACAAACACTCGTTCATTCCATTGTCAGTGAAGCTCATCTACGAGCAGATTGTTCAGGAGGGACAAAAAAGATAGAGTTTTTTAAGGTCAAGTGAGCAGAAATTGCACTGACATGCTGAAATGCACTTTTATGTGATTCTGTTGACCATTTATTTATTACGTAATTGTTTATTTTTTATTGATGACTAATGTGAGTGGAATGGGTTGTTTGTGGGTGTAATGTGTTGTCTGTGCAGCAGACCCCTCTGTCCAAGACAAATTTCTCCCAAGGGAGACCAATAAAGACACTTTGACTTAATCAGTGATTGTCAGCTGAGATTCATAAAGCAAGACAAACAAACAACAACAACAAACATGTATTATAGCTTTATAATGGCTGAATAAGATCAGAAATCAATGCGGCTGCTAACATTACCTGGCGATGCATCATGCGTATTGGCCAAGTTTTGCTAGAGAAAATAACAACACTTGCAAAATAAAATGCTGTAGTCAATTTGTTTAAGTGTTAGCTTCATTTAGGGATGTAACGATTATTGGTAAAATGATAAACGGTCAAATTCCCACGGTTAGTATTACCGTTTCAAATTTTAATTATCATTAAAACTGTGGTTGATTACCGCACTTTGAAAAACTCATGGTGATACTGCTCATTGCCTGGAAAAGCAGCAGCAGCAGTCCCTCAGACGCAGGTGCGCATGCACAGTTTGCAATGCTTGACCTCTGAAAACTGGCGGAAGGCACCGAAGGCAACCGCATGGACAGTGCTCCGGAGATTTTTTTCCCGCTCTAAAAGGACAAAGTCTGAAGTCTGGACGTATTTTGGATTTTATAAGGATGCTGAGGGGAAACTAATTGAAGATAGTCACCCTCTCTGCAGAAAATGTAGGAAAAAAAAGTCTCTGCGAAGGGGGGTAACACTTCAAATTTGATGAGCCATCTCCGTGACCAACACCCACAACTATACAGCGAGTGTAAGGTAAGTTAACTTTTAGCTGAATGCATGATGTGGGGACTTCGGAATAGTGGAAAATGTCATAGTTTGTCTGTCTAACTCTCCCATAGTTTGTCAATAAAGGAAATAGAAATTTTAAGTGTTACCTAACGTTACTCCTGTAAAAATACATGTTATTGGGTGCAATGGGCAAGTAGTGTCTGCAGGTCTCTGCACATGACACATACAGCAACAGAACAGCAGGTTGTGTTTCCGCTATGTACGGCCGCTGCTACTTAATTATTGCCGACACTGCTTCAGAATTGGGGCAGACGCACAATAATTACAGTAGAGATGCATGTTTGGTCCGTTTCTGCTCCGGCACGGCACTAGCCCAACTCCGCTGCAAATATACTCTGTCATAGCTCCAGTTGCCAGAGCCCGAAGCCCAGAGCACAGCGCATCAATGTCTCACAGAAGCAACAAGAGGGACAGGAAGTCTGACACAGATCTGGTTAATTTTCAGAATAAAACGTTCCGTGTTAAAAACAAATCCTAGAGGAAGCACTGCATCGTGTTTTGCTTTTACAGGAGTAACGTTAGTGTGTGTGTGTCAGTCAGATGATAATAATATAATAATAATAATACATTTGCTTTTCCTTTGTTTACAGAGTGGGCGTGCAGCAGGCAAACCCAATGATGCTACTGCTACTACATCCTCATCTACAGTGACACAAATGATACAGAGCGCATTTCAAAGGCAGCTGCTTATGCACCTACATCGAAATTTGCTAAAGACCTCACTGCAGCCCTCTCATATTTTATTGCAAAGGACAAAGGACAGTGCCCCAAGGAACTGTTTCTGCACCATTCGTCTTCACCCTCTACACCTCTGATTTCCGGTTCAATTCTGGCTCCTGCCACCTCCAAAAGTTTTCCGACGACTCCTCTATAGTCGGATGCATCAGCAATGATGACAAGGAGGAATACAGAGGACTGATTGAGAGCTTTGTCGCGTGAAGCAAACGAAACCACCTTCAACTCAACATCAACAACTGGAGGCAACCTGCCCCAGTCCCCATCCAGGGCGTGGAGGTGGAGATGGTGGACTCGTACAAGTACCTTGGGGCCCACATCAACAATAAACTGGACTGGACTCATAACACAGATGCCCTCTATAGGAAAGGACAGAGCAGGATGTTCTTCCTGAGGAGACTCAGATCATTTGGCGTCTGTAGTGGGCTCCTCAAGACCTTCTACCAGTCTATGGTTGCCAGTGCACTCTTCTTTTCTGTAGTGTGCTGGTGGGGTGGAGTTAAGACTGGTGAGGTCAACAGGCTCAACAAGCTTGTGAGGAAAGCCCGTTCTGTGGTGAGACTGGACCTAGACAGTCTGGAGACAGTGGCTGAGAGGAGGGTGAAGGACAAAATCTGTGCAATCCTGGACCCTTCTCACCCCCTGCACGACGAGCTGTTGCTGATGAGCAGCTCATTCAGCCAGCCAATTATCCCACCCAGGAGCAGAACTGAACGATTCAGACACTCCTTTGTGCCCACCGCCATCAGACTGCACAACAGTGGTTTCGCTTAAGCTACATCCAGCTCTGAACGGACCTATCTTGCATCCGTTCAATATGACACTTTGTCTGCCACCTGTCACTTTATTTCATTCAACACTCTGTCTGCCATTTTTTAGTCACTTTATTGATCTGATGTAGCAATTTTTATTGATGTAGCAAGTTTACTTTATCTTTTATTTATCTATTATTATCTTTAATTTTTACTTTTTATTTTTTCTCTTTAATCTTCTTCTATTTAATGTCCTTTGATTTTGGCTTGTGCTGCTGTGATACTTGAATTTCCCCCCTGGGAAATCAATAAAGTATATCTTATCTTATCTTATCTTGTGCCATTCCAAATCGTTGAGAGGCCTGGCTTTCTGAGGCTGATGAGGGTTGCTGTGCCTCATTACAAAGTTCCATCACGATACCAGTTCTGTAAGACTACATCTAGTCTTGAGCACTGAACGTAAAGAAACGTATTCTTGGTTCTTATCTACAATTTGCACAAAGTGCAGTTACCTCTTATGGCCATAAGGTGCCATCTTTAATGCACATTTGTATGTTTGATGTTTACATGTTATTATTATTGTTGTTAGTATTTATTTTACTCTAAAGTCACAGAGTCATACTTTTGACAGCTTTGTGCAGAGGGTCAACAGATGCATCATTTGATCTGTCACAACTGTTAAAGTGCACACTGCAGACAAATGTTTTTGCAATTAAAGCAATAAAAATGTTGAATTTTCAAAAAAAACAAAACAAAACAAAAAACAAATTTGTTACTCATTTCTCTCATTTCAGAAACTTTATTATTTTCTCTTATATTACTCTTGCCCTTAAAAAAAGCTAAAGTAATTTAATGAAAACACGCAGTATTTCTTATCCAATTACGCAATACATCACCAGAATAATTGAAAGAACACTCAATTACTAAAAGAATTGATAGCTGGAGCCCTAGGCGACACCCACTCAGTCAAGGACTTATGGACTTAGCTATAGCACTAAAAGTGAGCTGTCATGGTCCAGGCAAAAACTTTAGATAACACATGTTAAAAAGAACAATACAATGAGACACAGTCCCCAGCAGGAGGGAGCTGCTTTCTCTGGAGCTGCACCTACTGATTATTTAGTACAACCCTCCCCTCTTCAGCTCAGGTCTGGGGTGTACATCCCCGTGTGACTGGTAGAGGCTGCACCACCACCGGCCACTATCAGAGCAAGTTCCACCGATGATGGTGTGTAAAATGTCTTCTCAGTGTTGATTAATCAGCCAAACTGAAATTGGGCAATATCTGGAAAACACCCTCTAATTTTACTCTACAACCTGCAGTTCTAAAACCAGGCCTGAGGACAATCCTGCAATTGCCAGCACCACTATATCTGTGAAGATGTACCTCAGCAAAAAACCTGCGTAACACCATCCCAAACACATCCCTTCTCAGAACTTTAGTTTCTCAGAATTTTCAGTTTCCAAAACTTGTAATGATTTTAATCTTTTTCTGCCAGCCTACAAGGGCTGGCTATGGATGAAATCAAAAGAAGAATAAGAGGAAAAAACATAAGATGGCTCCAGCCTACCAACCACATTTTGGCCAATCCAACAGCTACCCGCAACTTTTGGCCAACTGTATGGACATTGTTCTGCCCACAGATGCCAACATCAGATGTTCAAAAACAGCTGAGAAGGCTGTGATTAGTTAGATGTTGGACAAAGTTGGAGGACAGCACATGCTTATGGTTTGGGTCAGGGGTAGGAAGTACTGGGGAGGTAGTTAAACAGTCAGTACATTTACGTGCAGGCAATAGTCGAGCTAAGCTCATAGCTCGGCTAATCAGTCAAGTCGGAATTCTCGTCTTGTCTGAGAATAAATGCAGAAGAGAAAATCGAATTTCTGACCAAGTATGTCTCACTCCACCCCAATAGCCAGCGCTGTGTCATTTTTAATATAGTGCGTATTGAATTAGTTCTGGTTCTTGTTCAGAAACTTTTTTAAATAAATTCGCGTTTCACGCTTTCCTACCATACATAAACTTCAAAATGTTTGGCTCTTTTAGCTGTCGGAGCATGAATGTAGTTTCCTCGTCCGTCCAGGAGTGTGTCTTCTGCTTCTCAGTCGCCGTGGTGTTTGTTAGTCTGTTTTTCCAGGAGTTACTGCACTGCTATAGGGCTGTCAACAAATATTCTAAATTCGAATTTAAATTTGAATTTGAAAAAAGAATGGACCATCAAATGTGAAATGAAAAAACACCAGCGCAGCTGTCCTCTTTGCAAGTGGGCGATGGCCTGGGCCGCTGCACTGAATGCACTGCATGACGGGTCAGAGAGGGGGGGGCGAACGAGAGGTCCGCGGTCGTTTATAATGTAATGTTATAGATAATTGTTTTATGTGTTTTAATGTGTAGGTATGCGAATGTTTTCAAAGACGTTTATGTTGAAATAAAAATACCTGCAAGTAGTTATGTTTCCTTGTATTAATACATATACAAGTATGTTTCCCTGTATTAGTTTGCCCTCTTGAGGACATAACGCGAGAAAAAAAAAAAAAAATTTCGAATGGTTCGAACCTATGAGTTATTTTTAGAAGGAATATTCGAATGTTATTTTTGAGCAATTTTGACAGCCCTACACTGCTATATACTGAACTGCTGTTAAGTCATCTCCTTCTTCTTCCTGGTGAAAGCCTGCGAAAGAAAAAGTGGTGCATGCGCAGAACGCCGAGTCCGATTCCAGTCAGACTAAGTGGATACATGCAGCAATAGTTCGATTTTCAATCGAATTATCTAGGTGTGATATTCAAGCTACGGCTAGTCCAATTTTAGTCGGACTAAGCTGTTATGCATTTAAAATTCCGGTTTCAGTCCGACTAAGCCAATAATTCTCAAGCTGCATGTAAACGTACTGAGTGTGTCCAATCAGCTTTCCTATGGAAATGACAAGGCTGTGAGGTGTGGAAAAAAACACAGTGTGGAGCTCAGGCAACAGCTGGCTGATGGTTGACCCAATATTGGTCTTGTGGTGACAGCATAGTTACTGTGTTATGTTAAGTTTAAGGATGAAATACAGTGCAGTGATGTTCCATCAGCCGTGTATCCCACAGAAGAGAAGATCTCATGTGCTTACCTTGTCGTAGTAGTATCTGAGAGCCCTGCTGAGTTTGTCATAGTTCATATTGGGCTTGTTCTTGCGGGCTCCCCACAGTCGGGCTACTTCCTCTGCCTGCAGCAGTTTAAATTCCCCTTCTTCATTGGTCCAGCAGATTAGCTGCTCATTACTGGAATCCAATAGGAGCTGGAGAAGGAACTGCCACAAGGTGACAGAGTTGTCCATGTCTCTCACTGAAAAAAGGCAGAGCAGAAAAATCATTTGCCTTTTGAGCTGCTGCTCACAGCATAACAATATAGGGATGTATAAACTTGGACACTCTACTGAAAGTCAGTTCAGTAAGTTGCTTATTCAGAGAGTAGTATCAACTCAATGAGCACAAAATCTGATCCCAACTGGAGCAATAGGAAAAGTTTTGTTCATGGTCATCCTCACCTGTATCTTTACAACAGGGTTCCTACACATTTTAGCCAACAAAGATGATAGTCTGATACTGTATGATTGTACTACAGCAGCCTCCCACTCAAGCTAACGTTAACTATCCATCAGTAGTACCTGTCTCCAGTATCATTTAGTGATTTACCACACTGACAGTAAATAATCACATATCTTATGTGCTTCAAATCTTAGTGTCAAAGTCTTGGTTAACCTGCTACACAACAGTTTTTTGGGATTTTCATGTCACTCTTCCAATGTGACACGTTTCTTTCCCCAAAAGGCGGAATAGCCTTGGTGAAGTTTTAAATGGTCACACAGCGCAGCACTAGATTTTGAATTAGTATTACAAGGATCTAGGGTTTCAAGGTATACCATGATATAAAAGCTGGCAGTTATCATAGCATGTATATTTGCTTATCTATTATACTGAAAAAAAAATGCAACTGGGCAGTTATTTTCGAAGGGTAGACTTTTTACTTGTACTTCCATTGACAAAATGGTTTCAAGTTTCAATTATAGTAAGAAAACGTTTGTTCAGCCAAAAATAACCCTTCCATTTTCATTCCTTTGAGGGTCATTCTGACTGATGATAAGATAAATTCTGTAATACCAGAGACGGTTATCATACCGTGAAAGTCTCATACTGTTGCAACCCTACAAGGAACACATGTTAAACATGTTTTGGGATCTTTATGAATATATTTTAAACAGCCATGAATACAACGTCAAAACAAACTTTTCTTAAACATTTTGTTGATTCCAAACCATTTCCACCTGGAGAGCAGTTCTTGTAATTTCATAACTTTTCCAGGAATTTTATGACCGTGGGAATACTGTTACAGACCTGGATAAACCACAGAGTCTGTTGGATACCCAATAGTATGAGGCTGAAATTTGGTGCAATTGCTATAAATGGTTATTTCACAGCCAAGGAGTAAGAGACTGTTTTATAGGACCAGATGCACTGTCTAGTTCAAACACTGTTCCGTGATGCAGTTCCCACTTTTCAGGATGATAATGCCACCATACATTCTGCTGAACAAATTCAAGAGTGAACAGTTGGGCAAAGTCAAACATCTTCCGGGTTTTCAGCTTTTCAAGAACTTAGGCTGTTTAAATGGTAAAAAATGGTCATGGTCTTGTTAGGTCAATCATACTGAAATACTATCACACATTGACGCATGACATCAAATTATTTATGTTAAGCTAATTATTGAAAAATAAAAGAATTTTTAAAGAATAACATTCGTAAAGAGGTTACTTCAAAAAACAGGGCCAGAGGAAAGCTATTCTTAAAACACTCTGCAAGGATAAAAACCCTGACATAAGGACATCACTATATTTCCATAAACGGTATCATCATTACTACAGCTCCAAGTCATTTCACAAAGGACATTATGCACTTGACTACAGTATGTTCCACTACCAAAGGTCTTCAAATAGAGTGGTTAGAGACTCACAACCTGCCGAATGCTTGTACCCCTCACAATGTAGATCTGTTTGCTGTGACCATCAGCTGCTTAGAGATAATGATAACGAGCTCTCCTCCTACTGATTGCATGTTCTTTCTCTCCACATCCACTACTCTCAGTAGTGTAGTGGTAGTTGAGTGGGCACCAGAGAGCTTTTGTTGTTTTGCAAATGCCTTGTCAGCAGATTGACAGCAACTGAAAACACAAGAAAATAAATTGAAAAGGAAATGGAAGCAAAAACTCAATTATTGTAATTACTCTGAAACATATTGCTTAATGTAAATTTAATTATGTGATATTATATATTATATATGATATAATATATGCATTTTTTGGTAACTTTTTTTTATTTAAAACTTTACGTTGTAAGTATTAAAAAGTTGGATGCACAAATGGTGGACTGTGAAAACAAACAATATCTGCTCATAGAATATTATCTTAATTGAGAGGAGCAAAAATAAAAAAACACTGGTAATTCCAGAAATCAGTGGGTATGAACAAAATAATAACAAATTGTAAATACCAACAAAAATAAGAGGAAATGTGTTTGTTTATCACTTCCTGCATGAGACTGGTAAGCAAATTAGTATAGCTTTATCTCAACTAAGGTGCAAATCCCATCTGGCATTTTCTTTTTATATTTTTGAGTGCCTTTGCTACAGTCTATGCATCCTATGCTGAGTAAGCTTAAAGACTATATATACGGACCTCCAGTTCCGGTTTAGAGGGGATGGCAACTTAGAAAGAGATCTCTCGACAAGAGTAATCAAACTGCCCCAAAGTAAATTAACTAACCAGTGAAGTGCACGAAAACAAGGGAGAGGGGGCACAAATGACGTCCAAAAAGAACCGGAGAGGTAAAAAGTCAACTATCGAACAAGTTGAAGACGACGAGATGCAGCTAACAGAAGAAGCTAACGTTAGCTCTCCTGGGGCTAGCCGGGGTGCCTCTCCCTTCAATTTAAACTGACATCTTTAGAAGTGTACTCGAGGAGGGAAACGCTCAGACTATACGGGCTCCCGGAGGGAGCTGAGTCTGGATCACAATCTATGATCCATTTTGTGGAGAAGCAACTTAGGGAGAATCTCAGCATCCCCACAACAACAGCATTACAGATCCAGAGGGCGCACAGAGCGTTATCATCTCCCCCACCAGACGGCTAACAGCTCAGATCTATCCTGGTAAAATTCCTGTGCTTCACTGTTAAATTTTTTTTTATTTAAGTTTTAATTTTATATACTTTATTAATCCCCGAGGGGAAATTCAATTCTTCACTCTGTTAGTCAATTACACACAGGTCCGAACACACACATGCACAAACAGGACCAAAGTGGAGAGATGTCAGAGTGAGGGGGCTGCCCATGACAGGCGCTCCGAGTGGTTGGGGGGTTCGGTGCCTTGCTCAGGGGCACCTCGGCAGTGCCCAGGAGGTGAACTGGCACCTCTCCAGCTACCTCTCTCCACACTCTCCACCAACCCAAGTCCCTATGGACTGAGCTACTGCCGCCCCTGCCTTCTTAAAGAAGAAGTGCTTAGGCTGGCATGGCAGAAGAAAGGTTTTATGTGGAACAACAAGAAGATAAACCTCGACCACGACTATCCTCTGGAGATTATGGCCATGGGGGGAAGAAATACGCAAAGGCACGGAGGATCCTGAAAGAGAAAAATCTCCGTTTCCGGACCCTCTATCCAGCCTGCCTGAAGGTGTTTTATAAAGAAGGAGTGAAAACCTACAACGCGGTGGAGGAAGCGGTGGCAGATACAAGCAGAGGCTGCAAGTATGCAGATGGGAAGAGAACTGATGTGACTTGAGGGGTTATGTCTATGATATGGACGACATGGTGAAATATAATCATTGTTGAGTCAAAATGGGTGGGGATTCTCTTTCGTGAGGGTGCCATCACAGTGGAAGGCCCCCTAGCTCAGAGAGTAAATAGGGGTATTCCTTCAAAGACTATGGGAAGCAGTGGAAGTGATTCACTGCTGGAAGTGTGGTCAGGAGCATTCATGCTTCAGTTATACACCATATATTTCTATTTATTCTTTACTTCTTATTTCATATGTTGTTTAACTAAGGGGGGTTTGCCTGCTGCTGTCGGGGGGATGTTGTGCGTTCAGTTAATACAACTACATGCAAAATGAGCCAGTGAAAATTATTTCTTTTACTGTAAATGGGGTTCTGAATGTGATTAAGATGAGTAAGATATTATCTAAACTAAAGAAAGAAAAAGCCCAGATTGCCTTACTTCAGGAAACACACATGAACCAAGCGGATCACTTAAGGTTGAAAAGAAAGGGTTTTTGAATTGAAATATAATAAATAAATTATGGAATTGTAACTGCTGACAGGTGATTTAAGTCCACGTGCCAGTTTATTAACTCAGTGTCTGAAAGTCTGAGGGAAGAGTTGTGAAGTTTGATGGCCACAGGCAGGAATGACCTCCTGTAGCGCTCTGTGGTACATCTCAGGGGGAATGAGTCTGCCAATCCTGTGTCTGACCAGCACATCATGGAGTGGGTGGGAGATATGGGACAACAGGTGTAAGAATATTTACTTTCTTGATATTTTTGTGAAGTTATTTTGTTAATTAGACTTAAAAAACAAGTGAGCTTGTGAAACAGCT